TTTTTTTTTTTTTTTTTTTTACAAAGTGGATCTTAAAGCAGTGGGGCCGCGGGAGAGCAGCACAGAGAGGTTAGAACAGGACAGCATGGATGCCACGAGCCACTCTCCACCAAATCCCTCCGTTCTCTATGCTGCCCTCCGACCACTTGCCATTCAGTGTTGAATCCAAAGGGAAACGGCTTCTTGTGAGCTCTGACCCAGTTGTGACAGCCCTACAGACCCAACCTCCAACCTCCTGCTCCGGGGGACCCGGGGGAGAGTAGCACAGGTATGCTAAGGGCCATAGAGGTGAGCGTTCTGGTCTCCGCTCTGGAGGCAACCAGCCGCGTGACCTTGGCCGAGCATATTTGCCCGTTACGTTGACCTCGATTTCCACACCCACAAAGTGGGAAAATCAGACTAGATGGCCACTGTGGTCATCCCCAGCCCTACAATTCTATGATTTTGGTGCACAGTGACTGTGGAGTATTTTGGACTCAAAGTTTTCTGGAAGGAGATATTCAAAAGGAGAAACTTCAGAGACTCTTGCATTACACACGCAGGCGTGTAACGTGAGCTAAATGCCACTCCCTCTCTCTTCACGACACAGCGGACCGCGCATCGTACCCGCCACACTCAGTATTCCTGACGTTCTGCTCACCTTCATGCCTTTGTTTCTATGATTCCTTCACACGATGCAGGCTGTTTCTGCTGCTGCCATCACACCCGAGGGACTCCTTGCCTGGACTCCGTGAGTTATGTCTTAGCTCTGCGACAAGGGTGCCGATCACAGAGAACTGCGGGAAAGGGAGAGATTTCTCACCACCACCACCACCACCGCCATCATTGTCCTTGTCATTGTCATCATCATCATCCTCACTGAGCCCTTGCATGTGCCTGGCCCTGTGCTTAGTAGTGGGCATGCGAGATCCCATTTCATCTTGGAGATAAACCGCCGTTATCCCCAATTTGCAGGAGAGCAAGATGAGACTCAAGAGGTGGGAAGCAGGCAGTCTGCACACAGCTAGCAATGGGAAAGCCGGGCTTCCGTGGGCCTGCCCTCGTCTCCACCGTGGCATTCCTTCATCCTTCGTGGCCGTGTTTCAGCACAACTTTCGAGTTGTTAACGATTCGTTATTCTGAAGGGATACATAAATCTTCGTAAGAAAACCGATGGTGCAGCAGGGAGAACATAAAAAGTGAAGGTCTCCACCTGCAGGCACACACTTTTATGTCGGTGTACTTCCAAGATATAACTGCTATTAATAGTTTCATGGGCGTCTTTCTAGAAGTATTCAAATGTATTATAAATATAAAAGTATAAAATTTTTCACAGCATCAGATTATACATAACGATGCAACTTGCGTTTTTCACTTAAAACATACATCTTGGCTTTAGTTTAAAAAATAGATCTTGGCTCTCTCTTGTGTTTCTTTAGTCAGCCAACGAGGCTACCTCTAGTTTTTAGCTATTATAAAAATTCTAGCATAGAAATCCTTGCACAAAGACCTTTGCACATCTGACGTCAGTATCCCTAAAGGAAGCAGTCTTAGAGGTAGATTTGTTGGGTCAAAGTTGATGTGCGTTTTGAACTTGGCAGGTGTGGCCAAATCGCCGTGCAAGAAAGTGTCTCAAATTTGCGTTCCTGCCCGGAGCATCTCAAGGCACCTGTTTCTCCATAACTCTATCAGTATCGTCTGTCCTTTTAAGTTTTGCCCATCTGATGGGTGTTTTTATTTGTACGTCTTTAATTAGTAATGAAAGTAATTGTTCATTGGCTATTTAAAGTTTTTAGTGATTCATACCCTTTCACACTCTTCTATTGGGTATTTTGTGCATTTGTAGATTAAGGTTGTTAGCTTTGTCCGCCGTATGAGTTTCAGCCTGTTTTCCAAGATCAACATCTGACTTCTGCCATTTGTTTATAATTACTGCTCCTTTATGGATACATTAGAAGCAGGAACTTCTATTGGCTTTTGTCTCCCTCAGTCCCAGCGTCGCACCCCACCCTCACCCTCAGGGCGCCCAGGGCCCAGGCCAAGGTGGGAGACATGGTGGAGCTTCGCTGCGAAGCCCAGAGGGGCTCTCCCCCCATCTGGTACCGGTTTTATCACGAGGACGTCCCCCTGGGGAACAGCTCGGCCCCCTCTGGAGGAGGAGCGTCCCTCAACCTCTCTCTGACCGCAGAACATTCTGGAAACTACTCTTGCGAGGCCGACAACGGCTTGGGGGCCCGGCGCAGCGAGGCGGT